TCATGGTATGAAGAGGTAGGTTGAAATTGGAAAGTGAGACCAACTGGTCAAAATCCGACATTTTCTCACCTTTATGCCTGTTCGACGCTCAGAAATTGACAAAGACAATCCTCATCTCGTTGTGTAGCTGGACATAGACAAGGGCACCCAGAAAAAGACCCACATTTCTCTAAACAACTCGCCCAGGGCTGCTGAAAGCTGAATAATAACCTATCTCAAAGTTTAGGGCTTGGTACCCGTGAATCTTCACTTTGCGATTAAACTATTCAGTGGTGCCAAATTTTCTGGGTCACTGAATGCGGGTGCCAGCGCCCTACAAGCAAACCAAAAATCAAACCAATGCGACCACTGAAATTACAGCTGGCTACTCTTATAGAGAGGTACGTTGAAATTCAAAGATGAGCACAAATGGTCAAAATCCGACATTTTCTCACCTTTGACAATGAAACTGACCATCCTCATCTCGTTGTGTAGCTGGACATAGAAAATTGCACCATGAAAAAGAGCCACATTTCTCTAAAGAACTCACCCAGGGCTGCTGAAAGCTGAAAAAGAACCTATCTAGAAGTTTGGGGCTTTTTACCCGTGAATCTTCACTTTGCGACTAAACTGTTCACAGCAGTGCCAAATTTTCTGGGTCACTGAATTTGGGTGCCAGCGCCCTACTTGGTCCGGCTCATCGCAATTGTCGCTTATCTATCGCCACTAAGAACAGGAGTTTTGTTGGCGCTCTGTGAAATTTTCAATAGGCATAGTTAGGAAGCATGATACATGAAACTCTCCGCCACAAGAAGAAACATTCAGCCGTGGAATCAGGTGAAGCGAGTCATAGAAGGAAAGCAAGGTAAGCAAAATACACGAAATAAATCAGCGAAGGAGCGTGTTCTTGCACTCACACTCTTACAGGCCCAGAGTTCATTCAACTCTCCATCACTCGAGCTGCCGCCTTTATATGAGCTGACATTAAATTGGTGGTGTCTAGCTGCTGGCGTAGACTGGTAGAGTATCTCGTTCTTTGTCAGCCTGTCGTACGGCAGCTATGGGAAAGGAACAGTTGTGTCTGTCATTTCGGTGCTTGAAGGAACCGTGGGCAGTGTGACCTGTGTGTCACCACAGTGTGTTTCAACAGAGCCTTCGAAATGAGGCATACAGGCCTCTCCAGACAGCTGTCATACGCTCCGCTGGATACGCTGACCACAAGACTCTTGTAATGCTGCTGCCAGGTCCACGAAGGAACAACAACTAAAACGTCCCTGCCATGCACGCATCGCATCGAAAACACCTTTCTTCTTCAGCATTACGCTCATACTAGCTCATACTACTCTGCCATGCACGCCTGCCTGTCACGCTCTCCAGGATGTTTCCGGTCTGTGGGTCGCTGCGCTTGGCTTTTGGCAACACAGACAGTGAATGGCCAGATTTCCACTTCCCAAAAAGTCGAACACATCGCAATTCAAAGCGCTAGTCACGATCATTCTTTGGTGCTTCACCTAATCTTGCCATCACAACCTCGCAAGCAAAAGTAAATAATTAGTTAGATATCGTGATTGAACTGGGTTTTACGTGTCAAAAAGTGCGTGGGAGATAAGCGACAATTGCGATGAGCCGGACCAAGTACAAGCAATCCAAAAATCAAACCAATGCGACCACTGACATTACAGCTGGGTCATGTAATAGAGAGGTACGTTGAAATTCAAAGATGAGCACAAATGGTCAAAATCCGACATTTTCTCACCTTTATGCCCGTTCGCAGCTCACAAAATGAAAATGACCATCCTCATCTCGTTTTGTAGCTGGACATAGACAAGGGCACCAAGAAAAACAGTCACATATCTCTAAAGAACTCGCCCAGGGCTGTTGGAAGCTGAATAATAACCTATCTCCAAGTTTAGGGCTTGGTACCCGTGAATCTTCACTTTGCGACTAAACTATTCACAGCAGTGCGAAATTTTCTGGGTCACTGAATGTGGGTGCCAGCGCCCTACAAACAAACCAAAAATCAAATCAACTATCAGGTCTATAATCTATTTATCGTATACCAGGTATACTCCACGCAAGGTTTCTCTTCATATGCGACATATCCTTTTAATTTTAGTATAATATAACCTATACCACATTGTACGGCATTGCAGGATCTAGGTCATTGTTTACACTAGGTTCAGCATCGGTAGCACAATGGCTGGGTTGCTGGGAAGAGTGCCTGACATTCACATGGTCGTGGGTTGAATCCCCTCTTGTGTACATCTGCTTTGTTGAAAATTTTCTTTTTCTAAGTTGGAGAGACAATGTATGTGTCCAAGAGGTTCTAAGCAGTCAACTATTAACAGTCTAGTATAACTGCGTATTTGACTAAGCAGTCCAATATGCCATATACCGGTATTTGACTAAGCAGTCCAATATGCCATATACCGGTATTTGACTAAGCAGTCCAATATGCCATATACCGGTATTTGACTAAGCAGTCCAATATGCCATATACCGGTATTTGACTAAGCAGTCCAATATGCCATATACCGGTATTTGACTAAGCAGTCCAATATGCCATATACCGGTATTTGACTAAGCAGTCCAATATGCCATATACCGGTATTTGACTAAGCAGTCCAATATGCCATATACCGGTATTTGACTAAGCAGTCCAATATGCCATATACCGGTATTTGACTAAGCAGTCCAATATGCCATATACCGGTATTTGACTAAGCAGTCCAATATGCCATATACCGGTATTTGACTAAGCAGTCCAATATGCCATATACCGGTATTTGACTAAGCAGTCCAATATGCCATATACCGGTATTTGACTAAGCAGTCCAATACGCGATATACCGGTATTTGACCGCTTAGGTATCAGGGAAATCAGTGGGGTCAAATCCTAAGAAGGCGATAATGATTCCTATGTATATACAATGTGTAATAGAATTATTGATATTAGCGGCATGCCCAGTGCTGCTGTACTTGCACGGCTATTCTTCCACCTCCCATTTCTCCCAAGTCCGAGTCGATAAGGAGCAGACGGGAAATATCTCTCTCACCTTGAACGGTTGTGGCAGTGTAACGTAGAAATCATTGGCAGCTGCTGCATTCCCTTCGTAGCTAAGCTATTTACGGACCATGTGCGCCGCTTGCTACAAACTGCCACAAACTATCCTGCTCTGACACTATCGTTCTAATCCCATAGAAGTTAAACTTAGAGTCAGAGGCAAATAGTAAGATTATGCAAATATTCTAACTTGCGCTACGGGGACAACACGTGTTGTGTAGATACACAGGATGATCTAGTCTGGTTGGAGATAGGACACAACGACAATTATAGTGATTGCAGGCATCGCCTCTACTCCTTCCTCAACAGTCAGTCTGTGAGAGATTTCTGCATCTACAGAAATACGGACGATCTGCATAATTATCCTGACTGTACGGTAGACTGTGTAGTGTAGGCTAGCTAGCTGTGCAACGCGGGAATACCATCATCATGATCATGCATGATGCAGCTGCACGGGAAGGTTTTGCGCGCCAGTGTGTTTCCTTGCTGCCAGTGCCACTGACTCTGTACTGTGAATGCTGCGAGGTCAGTGCGCGTGGCCAGATCATGTAGATGTGGATCTTCTCCAGGCATTGGTAGTTCTACTCGCAGCGATCTACAATACAATGTAGTGTAGATCACAGCCTCTTTTACGGGCAAAATAAACAAAATGAATATTTTTTCCCAAGTGTTCCAAAAACTTCAACTCAAAGTTCTAGAAAGAAAAAAAGAAGGAAAAAACACGCAAAAAAAACAGCATAATAATGTATATACCTACTTAGCTAAGTAGGTTACTTGCTGCTGTTTACCTAATTAGGTAAACAGCAGCAAGTAACAACTTCAAGTCAATATTCCAGTCACTGTTACCGTTGGTGCACGCTAAGCCGGTACCCGGGCCTCTACCACTGCCAGAGCAGCAGAGGTATCACCCACAGCCAAGGCAGACTGACTAGAGAGCCTTCTGCACCCTCGGAGGCACATGATGCAGGACCGCAAGAGGGAAAAAGCGATCCTGCACCTGATGCAAGCCATCACATGCGAGTACTGCTCCCCTCTTTCCGCCGCCAACAGAGAGGCCACTCGTTTGTAGAGGGCCGTTGCTGCCCATGGCATCCGGTAGACAACTGAGTTCTGCAAAGACCGGAAGTGAGTTTGGCCACCATATAGATCTACCACTGACAGGTAACAAGTCATGTACGTCCATTTTACCATGACATTGTTTTACTATCGGTGATCTCCTGCACGGTTCCGCAGTGCAGTGATCGCCGTGGCCAGTGGCAATGGTAATGGTGACCTGGTGACTGGGTCTGGGGTCTGACCTGCAGTGAAGCACTGAAGCAGTGAAGGAAAGACCAACGAGCGCAGCTAGCTATGCATGAGTCCAGTACAGTGTCAGTACATTGAGGGGGGGGGGGGTTACAGCGTGCAGCTAGCTGCTGGTCCAGTAACACCTGAGATAGCATAGCCCAGGCTACGTGTGTGCCTAGCGAAAGCATGCGGAATGCCATGTAGCGATTGTAGGCTTGTAGCACTCTGTGCATGTGGTGATACGACCCAACAGGTGCACAGATGCCCCCCCCCCCCCAAGCAAACACCCTTCCTCCACTTGGCACTTCCAGTGCAGTGTGAGTCATTAATTTGTATAGTCTTCACAACCTACCAAGTCACATGCACATGCATGTGTGGATGGATGCACGCACACACCCAAGAATGTGCACACACATACACACATACACACCATTGGACCATTTGACGCCCATCGCCGGAGGCGATGATAGCGATGCTACAGCAGAAGCCAGAGCAGCTTGTGCTGGGATTGCACCATTCAACAGCTTGCAGGGCTGCACACACATACACACACGCACACACACACACACACACACACACACACACACACACACACACACACACACACACACACAGAAAAGCCCAGGATAAGAAAGGTGAATCCACTCTAACACACAGGTAATCAGTGAACTATGTGGATGAGTTTACTCCTATGGCTCCTCTCGTCAAAGCCATGCAGCAAAAGCGGAGCTCAGGACTTAGCATCCAGCATCAATATGAGGATGCAAACAATAATGATAATACGAATGAACAGTGTACGGAAGTCCAAGCAAATGCCAAATGTGAGTGTGTGAGATATTAAGACTTAGTTAGATTAATGTAGTACTGAATTTCTCTCCAAACTGGCAGCATGCTGAATACCTCATCTAATATCGACCTACATGTATTTAATTAAGGGAATGAAAAGGAGAAGGTGAAAAAAATAGCACGGATATGATACATGTACAGTACAGATCGGCTATAGCGTTGGTGTTTGATTTTCGTGAAAATATCACTATAGGCGATATATTACTATAGGCGATATGCATACTTAGGTATGCCTGACAAATGCGTGTATGGTGTCATTCGTATCAGTGCAGCGTGCAGAAGCGTGCTGTGCATGTGACTGTGCAATGCGCGCAGTGCAGAGCTACTTCCTGCGGAAAGAAAAACTTCGTGACTTTTTGACATAAGTGTTCAAGGAGTTGCTGTGCTCAACAAATAATTATGTGTTCCTTTGGAAGAGAATCACTTAATTCAACACATTCAATCCCACTAATTGATCCTGTAGATATTGTTGATATTATCAAGAATATCTACAGGATCAATTAGTGGGAGTAGAATCTCAGTTTGGGTCGCCATCGCTCGACTCATCGCCGCTGAAATCGTTTCAAGTGGCAGGTCGATCGACGCGTGATGTCGTATGTCACGGAGAAGCTTCCCCGCGTCCCTGATCGTCTTCGCTGTTACCTGAATGCCTTCTCCAACATCTCGGCGTCGACCACGGTAGGGCTTCAGCGCTGGTACTCATTACTGCCACCGATCTCGCTCGAGGATGCCCCGGAAGAACAACAAGCACAGCCAACGCCAACCATTTCGCATTTCCTCCGAGGGATATCATAGTCGTACCAGCGCTTCCTGGCTGCCGCGATCAGATCTCGCCATGTATAATTTTTTTATGATCATCACTATAGCCGATGAAAAATATATGCAATAAGATCATTTTGACAAAGAAATCGTATCATTATAGCCGATATATTACTATAGCCGATTATTACTATAGCCGATCCGATATGTATATTAAGGGGTGGTTTACGAAAATGAATTTGAGAATACGATCACTATAAGAGGTATATTACTATAGCCGACAACCCTATAGCCGATCCGCACTGTACTCAGTCGGGACAAACTGTGTTCTCATAAATAGCCAGGCTTGAATCTAAGAATGATGGATATTTTAATTGTTATCAAGACAGAAAATAGTGAACGATTGTGTTACTCCCTGCATGGGACAAACACGTTCATTTTTCTTAACACTGTGCTGGATATCAAGAGTAGAATTGAAGATAACTCGCATGCAATATCAAGTCAAGTTCCAATTGCATTGCATCAATACTGACATACTATATTCTCAGTTCCTGACCAGCATGTGCGGATACCACACACTGAGATCATTCACCATGATATGGGATTGTGTTGTATACAATACTATACACACATCCATGACATCACTATCACTTCCCGGGATATCTTGTGATGTCACGGAGAGTGGCAAGGTCATGACTACTAGCAGTACATGTATATCATTTGCATATCTTCATATATCTTCTCACTTGAGTGTAATGGTATGCAGCTCAGAAACAGACAATGACCCGCCTCATCTCGTTGTATAGCTGGACATAGGCAAGCGCACCAGGAAAAAGAGCCGCATTTCTCTAAAGCACTCGCCCAGGGCTGCTGAAAGCTGAAAAACATGAATCTTCACTTTGCGACTAAACTATTCACAGCAGTGCCAAATTTTCTAGGTCACTGAATGTGAGTGCCAGCGCCCTACAAGCAAACCAAAAATCAAATCAATACGACCACTGACATTACAGCTGGGTCATGTTATAGAGAGGTACGTTGAAATTGAAATTGAAAGGTAAGCACAAATGGTCAAAATCTGACACTTTCTCACCTTTCTGCCGGGTCGCAGCTCAGAAACTGACAAGGACTATCCTCACCCCGTTGTATAGCTGGAGATAGACAAGTGCACAAAGAAAAAGAGCCACATTTCTCTAAAGAACTCGCCCAGGGCTGCTGAAAGCGGAAAATTAACCTGAATGTGGGTGATGGCGCCCTACAAGCAAACCAAAAATCAAATCAATGCGATGGGGAAAAAAATTACAGCTGGGTCATGTTATAGAGAGCTACATACTACATTGAAAGTGACACGTGGGCACAAATGGTCAAAAAGTGACAATTTCTCACCTTTCTGCCCGTTCGAAACTCAAGAACTGACCATCACCACCCTGATCTTGTCGTATAGCTGGACATAGGGAAGTGCACCAAGAAAAAATACTACATTTCAATAAACAACTCGGCCAGGGCTGCTGAATGTTGAAAATAACCTATGTCCCAGTTTTGGGCCTTTTTGCCAGTGATTCTTCACTTTGCGACTAAACTATTCACAGCAGTGCCACATTTTCGGCGTCACTGAATGCGGGTGCCAGCGGCCCACCAGCAAACCAAAAATCAAATCAATGCGACCACTCATATTACAGCTGGGTCATGTTATAGAGAGGTACGTTGAAAGTGACACGTGGGCGCAAATGGTCAAAAAGCGACAATTTCTCACCTTTCTGCCCGTTCGAAGCTCAAGAACTGACCATCGCCACCCTGATCTTGTTGTATAGCTGGACATAGGGAAGTGCACCAAGAAAAAATTCCACATTTCAATAAAAAAAACTCGCTCAGGGCTGCTGAATGCTGAAAATATACTATTTCAAAGTTATGGGCCCTTTAGCCCGTGATTCTTCATTTTGTGACGTAACTATTCACAGCAGTGCCAAATTTCCGACGTCACTGAATGCGGGTGCCAGCGGCCTATTAGCAAACCAAAAATCAAATCGATGCGATCACTCACATCACAGCTGGGTCGTGTTATACAGAGGTACGTTGGAAGTGACACGTGGGCACGATTTAAAACAACGATCACAGGTAGCGCAGTGCTGGTTGCACCACGGATGACTGGTGATTGGTATGCGCTGGGGTGTGGGCGGTGATGCCGTGGCGGTTGTCGTGCACTTGTGCACAGCAAGTCCACCGGCACTTCGGAACCACCGAAGGCAGGCATGGCATTGACGTGCGTTCGGCTGTTCCGCTACAGGCAGCTGGCGATCAGCAGAACATTTGTGTCGTTCACACACACACACACACACACACACACACACACACACACACGTGCATAGACACTGCCGGAGCAGAATCTACCAGAGACGTGTCAACTGCCGGAGCAGGATCTTGGCAGAGCCAAAAGAGTCTGAGACTTGCCAACTGCCGGAGCAGGATCAGACAAGAATGATCCACACACAATACGGATAGAAATTTATAGCGACGCGAGCTCTAGCAAGTCACCATCTACAGCCAGCATAGCACTGGCCGGATTTTTTTGGCGACGACTGTAGCTTGACCATGATTTTTATTCAGTGTTCCGTCGCATTTCATATATTGCTAAACTATCTGGTTTCTGTGTGTGAGCCGACAATAGGCGGTTGTGCGATGACAGTCTGGTTCTTTTCATTACCTTCGTAATCTGTGTCACGCTCACTTGGTTGCGGTTTCATTCATGTCTGTCATGCTAGTGTTAGTAGCCGCTGAACTAGTATCGTACGCTGCACATATCTAGAGTGCAAGAGTTCATAGTGCGTACGGGATCTTTCCATGCCTGCTGCTTTGGCTTCCTTTGTTTCGCTGCTTTTCAGGATATGTTCTGTGCATAAATTACCTGGTTTTAGTTGATAGTGCTTTAGTGTGTGTGTAAGGATTTGTAGAGAACAGGAGCTGTTGTTGTATCGTCTTGCAAGAACGTTGTAAGACAGATCAAGCCCCACAGTTTGTGTGATGATTCGAGTGTATGAGTACTCGAGTGCATGAATATACAGTCTTCGAAGGGTTCGTGTGCGTGTGAGTAGAAAATACGAACATATCTGGTCCTTCGAGCCGGATCGTGGCATGGAGTCGGATCCTGGTATGCGTAGGAGCAGCCGTTCCTCGATAGGTGTACCTCCTCAGCGATGGGGTTTCGAGACCGAAGCTGTCGAAGGTAATCGTGACCAGCAAGGAGCAGTACCGACGTCCGGCAATGGAAGTCGAGCTGTGAGTGCTCGATCGCGGACATCATCAGCCCAGCACAGTGGTAGCTCGCGACGAGCAGTGTTGGAAGCTGAGATTCGAGTCGCAAAGGCGCAGTTGGAACTGCGAGAATCTGAATTGGCAGCGGAAACTCTTGTAAGGACAAGTAGTGTTCGTTCGCCAGGCTCCGGGACAGGGAGGTCCCCGTCTCTCGGGATGCAACAACAAGTGTTTGCGGAGGCCGCAGAAGTGCTTGATGCAGGCGACGAGGCACCACAAGGAGAGCCACACGACAACTCTCAACCGGACGCAGTAGTCGTCGGACTGGTTGCAGGAGATGTCGGGGACGTAGCAGGACACGTCCAGGAGATAGAGTCGGACGCCGAAAGTCACCTCCGACGCGAGTTCCAGCTGAAGGAACTCAGGTACCAGCAGGAAATCGGCTACCTCGGCGAGCAGTTGAACGAGTGCCGAAAGGAGTCGAGAAGGGTGAAAGACCGTGCTCAATCGATCGTCCAGAAGCTGGAGGTCGCCGAAAGCAAGCTTAGGGTCGCACAGCGGGAGAATCGAGACCTGTTGCAAACCAGCTACGAAAAGGAGAAGGGCATGTACAGTGAGCTGGAGCAAGCGCGGCACGAACTCGCGGAGCTGGAGCAAGCGCGGCACGAACTCGCGGAGATGGAGCGGCGCGTGCAGCATGCACACAGCAAGGTATGTGACGAGTCCACAGCTGTAGTTGCATCACGTGTGAATTCTCCTCAATCCGTGAATAGTACAGACAGTCGTGATGGTGCCAAGTGTGTAACGCACGGGCTGTCTGCCTGTCAGATGAGTGGCAGTCACAGTCGAGTGGTCAGAGATGAGGCCAGCAGTCAAGTGCCCGTGCCAGCCAGCAGTGACTCTAGTAATGATTGTAGCAGTACAGCTGGCAATGCTGACTCAGACCAGTGTACTGGCCAGGGCACCATAGGCATCGCCAACATGGCACAGGAGTTTATGGGTGCTTTGACAGCAGCACTACGGAGTAGTGGCAACAACACCACCACCAGCCACAGTACTACTCCTGACTCTGACACTGGCCTACACCAGCTAGCATCCCGACACAGCTCCATCAACACCAAGCTGCCCACGTTCTCTGGGAGACCTGAGGAATGGCCAACGTTCATCAGCACATACAGGAGCAGCACCAAGCAGTGCGGATTCAGCAATGCCGAGAACGTTCAACGCCTGCAAGCGTGCCTGAAGGGCAAAGCACGGGATGCGGTACAGCTGATGCTCTCCGTGCCCGACAATGTGGAGCAGGCCGTGCAGACGCTCGAGCAACGGTTTGGCAGACCGGAGCTCGTCGTCACTGAGCTGATCGAGCAAGCCAAATCACTCAAACCCGTGAGGGCAGACGACCCCGACAGCTTGATCGGACTGGCAACGGCCATCAACAACATCGTGCTGACAATGAAGCTGCTCAACAGCCAGGGCCACCTGACCAACCCTGCATTGCACAACGAGTTGGTCACGAAGTTACCACCAGCTCAACGGATGCAATGGGGAGAGTATCTAAAGACGCAAGGGTTGACGACCGATCAGCTCGGACTCGACACGTTCTCGTCCTGGCTGGGAGAGCGAGCTGAGGCTGCAGCGCTGGTGGCGCCAGCCAAGAGCCTTGCACAACCAACGACAACGTACAAGCCTCGCGGGCAGACAGCACTGCACGCCGCCAGCTCATCTGCAAACGAGGCCAGGCGAGACAAACCAGTTCGGTCCTGCCGGAATTGCAACGGCAGCCACTGCATCACCTGGTGCCGAAGCTTCAAGGCACTGCCAGTGAAACAGCACCGGGAATTAGTATACGAATGGAAGCTATGCACCTGCTGCCTGAGGTCCGGGCACTGGAGGGCAGCGTGTCAGTCGGGAGGATGCGAACGTTGTCCAGCCAGGCACCACACTCTGCTCCACCAAGAGCGTACCCAGCGGACTAGTGGAGCACGAGGGGGCTCGACGACTGACGGAACGAGTGGAGCACGAGAGAGCTCGAACACTGACGGAACACAGCCCCAGGCAGCGACCAACCATCAAACCAGTGCATCGATGGGAGATCAGATTGCCTTCATGACTGTGCCAGTAGTGCTGGAGTATGAGGGTCGCCAACAGCGCGTCACCGCATTGCTGGACCCAGCCTCTACTACCAGCTTTCTGACGGATGACGCTGCGAGTAAGCTTGGCATAGTCGGCAAGCCCCAGTCGCTCCAGACAACTGTTCTGGGCGGTAAGACAGTGACAGGACAACACCAGTGTGTTGAGGTCACTATGAGAAGTGTGGATGGCAACTACAGTGCGGACCTCGAGGTGTGGACCCAGCCACAGATTACCACCCACACAGCACCGGTCAACTGGGACAAGATCAAATGCTGTTATGAGCACCTGAGAGATATTCCATTACCACCAACCAACACCCGCACTCCGGAGCTACTAGTAGGCCTGAATGTGCCGGGAGCACATACTACACTGGAAGAAGTCGTTGGCAATGATGGTGACCCAATCGCTCGTCGCCTACCATTGGGCTGGGTGTGCTTTGGACCAGTAGTGACGCCCTCACAGTGCTCGATGACCACAGCCGTCACGCCAGCAGATGACATGACACCACAGCAGCGATTGGACGCTATTGTGGAGAAGTTCTGGTTGTGGGACGATGTTGGGACTGTGACACAGTCTACCCTCACCCAGGCAGAAATCGAAGCCGACCGTCTGGTACGTGAGATGACTACTCACGATGGTACTCGGATCGTCACTGGCATCCCATGGACGAGTGACGGTGGTCGGCCGCAACTGACAAGCAACATCGCGACAGCCAAGAGCCGCTTATTCAACCTGGAGCGCTCGCTAGCTCGGCGCCCACCAGTATACGACCAGTACCGTCAGCTTGTAGCTCAACATCTAGAGAAGGGTTACATCACGAGGTGCGATGCCGACGTTCTCACCGAGCCAGACCAGTGGTTCTTGCCCCATTTTCCAATAGTGCGGCAGGACAAGGAGACAACGAAAGTGCATATGGTCTTTGACGCTGCAGCCACCCACGACGGCCAGTCACTGAATGACCATATGTATGCTGGGCCGAAACTACAGCAAGACCTGGTGGAGGTCCTGCTAGGATTCTGTCAGGAACCTGTTGCACTCGTCGGCGACATCGCTGAGATGTTCCTGCAAGTCGGCCTCAAACCCGCAGATAGGCGGTATGTGAGATTCTTGTGGCGAGAGTCCCCACAATCTACCATGGAAGCGTTTGAATTCAACCGATTGGTATTTGGCCTCAAGGCGTCGCCATATCTAGCCTGCCGTGCCGTCAAGGAGGTTGGAAGCAGATTTGGCTCTAACTACAGTGACATGGCTCGTAGTGCTATCGACCGGTCTCTGTACGTGGACGACCTGCTCAAGTCCTGTCCTACAACTGATAGCGCTATCACCACTCAGCGGGAAGTCCAGTCCCTCCTGCAACATGGTTCATTCCACCTGCGCCAATGGCGGAGCAACGACCGCCAAGTGCTGGAGGCTATACCCAAGGCTGACCGTGCTACAGATTCGCTACTGCATCTCAGTAGCAACGACAACCCGACCATCTCCAATCCAGTCAAGACACTCGGCGTAGCTTGGAATGCGAGAGATGATGTGTTCACCTTCGTTTACAAAGCAACATCACCGCAGCAACTCACGAAACGATCACTGTTGTCCAAGATGGCTACCATCTATGATCCACGAGGTCAGCTGTCACCCTTCACTATCCGTGCACGGCTGATGTTCCAAGAGCTATGTACGCAGCAGAAGGATTGGGACGCCGCACTGTCTGATGAACAGAGCTCTAAGTGGCAGCGGTGGTTTGCGGAATTACCATTGCTGGCAGAGATCAAGGCAGATCGATGTTTCAAGGATGCACATCGTCCTCCAGAGTCCGCGGCACTCTCAGTGCACGTCTTCACCGATGCGTCATCGCATGCAGTCGCTACAGCAGTATACGTGCGCTGCGAGTACCCTGATGGCTTCGTGAAAGTCACGCTCGCATTCGCCAAAGCCAAGACCGCGCCAATCAAGCCAACCACCATCCCGAAGCTCGAACTTCGTGGCGCAGCCCTGGGAGTACGTGCGAGTCAAGTCGTAGCTCGAGCGCTAGACATACCAGTAGAGAAGCATGTATACTGGACTGACTCAACCAACGTTCTATACTGGCTGCGCAGCAACGCCAAGAACTTCCGGAGCGACATTGCCACTCGTATTGTTGAGATCCAGAAGAGTACTACAGCCGATCAATGGCGCCATGTGCCAGGCAAAGTCAATCCAGCCGACCTCGGCACCCGTGGCGAGCGCGCAGCCGACTTCATACAGAACGATACCTGGTGGAGAGGACCCCAGTTTCTGCAGTCGGCACCGGCAGAATGGCCGAAAACCAACCTCACTGTGCCAGCTCAGCTCCCCGGACAACTGAAGAAGAAGCCAGCCATCACGTTCGCCGTCGAACATGAACAGATCAGGCTAAGCCCATCTACGTACTCGTCCTGGTCGCGGCTAGTACGCATCACGGCATGGTGCTTGCGATTCCTAGGCAACCTGAGAGCAAGGATCACGAGGGAGCGAGCGGTTCCCACCAGCGCGGTAGTGGTACCATTGCAACAGACTGACGGGACGTCTGCAAAGAGTGCAGCCAGCAACTCCACAGAACAACACGCTACGGAGGAGTTGTCGCCGCAAGAACTGCAGAATGCGGAACTACACTGGGTTAGAGCGGCTCAAGTCGACACCTATGGAGGCACAATCCAGCGAATTGCACTTGGAAAGACTCTGCCGGCATCCGACCCGCTACAACGGCTGAATCCGGTGTTGCTCACAATTGAAGGTGTTCCTATACTGACACTGAGTGGACGACTAAAGGAATCGGCACATCTCTGCCGTGGTCTACAGCAGCCCATGTTGCTGCCACCAAACTATCGGGTGACACAGCTGTTGATCATGCAAGAGGATCAACAATGCCACCATTCTGCAGGGTCCCAACACCTACTGGCGAATCTCAGGCAGAGGTTCTGGATCGTGAACGGCCTTGCAGCTGTAAAACGCGCACGCCGAAGCTGTGTGAGGTGCCAGCGGATGAATGCTAATCCAGCAGAACAGCTGATGGGACCTGTGCCCAGTGTACGAACAACTCAGTCGTTCAAACCCTTCAGCAATTGTGGAGTCGACTTCGCGGGCCCATTTCTCACGAAACAAGGCCGCAGTCGGGCACAGCAGAAACGCTATCTGTGCGTCTTCACTTGTGTGGAGACCCGGGCCTGTCACCTAGAGATGGCGACATCGTTGAACGCAGACAGCTTCTTGATGGCGTTCTCTAGATTCGTAAAGCGTCGGGGAAATCCATCCGTCATGATATCCGACAACGGCACCAATTTCGTTGCCGCTGAGAGAGAGCTTCGTGAAGCTGCCGAGCAGATTGATAGGCAGAAGGTAGAACGTCGGTCCGCCGATGATGGTATCAAATGGCGTTTCAATCCACCACGTTCTCCCCACTTTGGCGGTATCTTCGAAGCAGTAGTGAAAGCAGCAAAGCGTGCACTCACTCATGTGCTGGGCAAGGCCAGCTTGACTGATGAGGAGCTCGTCACTGCCTTCACCGAGGTTGAGAATATCCTGAATTCCCGTCCTCTCACACAGCTCAGCACTGACCCGCAGGATGCCGATGTGCTGACCCCGAATCATTTCCACGTTGGCCGCATAGTGCAACCACTTGATTTGGAGATGGAAGTGAATGCCTCTGACGGCGTCCACCCGCGGAAGCGTTGGCAAGTAGTACAGCAGCATGTGTGTCATGTATGGACCCGCTGGATGAAGGAACTGGTTCCGCTATTGAACCTCAGGAAGAAATGGAGAGCAGAGAGAAGAGAGCTGCAGAAAGGCGACTTGGTGCTGTGCCCAAGTCCGGATGTGACACGTGGCCAGTGGCCACTAGGCAGAGTCGTAGGAACCCATCCAGGAGCCGATGGTCATGTAAGGGTAGTGGACGTGAAGATCGCCGACAAGATCAAGCGCCGGAGTGTTCACCAGCTTGTTCCATTGTGTGCAGATAGTGGCTGAGGAATTCAGTGCCTTAGCCCACCGTAGTGACAGTAGCAGCATAGAATGGACCTGCATATTTCCTTTTAGTTCTTTGTCTTTTCATGTTCTATCGTTACTGTTTGGTATCACACTCAGTCTTATACCCTTCGTGTGAGAGGGGGATTATGTTCCGTCGCATTTCATATATTGCTAGATTATCTGGTTTCTGTGTGTGAGCCGACAATAGGCGGTTGTGCGATGACAGTCTGGTTCTTTTCATTACCTTCGTAATCTGTGTCACGCTCACTTGGTTGCGGTTTCATTCATGTCTGTCATGCTAGTGTTAGTAGCCGCTGAACTAGTATCGTACGCTGCACATATCTAGAGTGCAAGAGTTCATAGTGCGTACGGGATCTTTCCATGCCTGCTGCTTTGGCTTCCTTTGTTTCGCTGCTTTTCAGGATATGTTCTGTGCATAAATTAGCTGGTTTTAGTTGATAGTGCTTTAGTGTGCGTGTAAGGATTTGTAGAGAACAGGAGCTGTTGTTGTATCGTCTTGCAAGAACGTTGTAAGACAGATCAAGCCCCACAGTTTGTGTGATGATTCGAGTGTATGAGTACTCGAGTGCATGAATATACAGTCTTCGAAGGGTTCGTGTGCGTGTGAGTAGAAAATACGAACATTCAGTGATAAATTTCCAGCATTCATGTCCATGTAATTAGTTCTGCATTTGTACGGCTATTTTCAACCTTACCTTCCTCCCAAGTCCATGGCTGAATACGTCCGTGAGCGCGCTAGAAACATTATCCTCTTCCACAGATGTAGCATTTGAAGGTAGAAATAGCGAACTGCTGCATCCCTTCATAAGTACGCTACTTACGGACTATCCGCCACGCTTGCCAATAACCGGCCTGTTCTGACCACTATGTTCTAGTTACTTAGAGGCAAATAGTAAGATTGTGCAAATAAATTCTAGCTTGCTTCGCCGAGGAAACTCTTGCAGTGTAAATACTCAAGATGACATAGTCTGGTCGAAGGCAGGAGGCACAACGACAAGCCTCTACTCCCACCGCCATACTGTCACTGTACTGTAGTACTAGTCGTAGTAGTAGTAGATCTACTAGTCTGTGACAAGTGTGAGAGATTTTCTGCACCTGCACCGGTCACCCGGGCCATGGCTCAGTCACTGAGTCTGTGTAGAGTCCGTGGATCTAACTTACTTCTAAATCTAATTCTGACATGTCACATGACAATCGACATGGCAACAGCGAATCCTAGCGCGACTTGCCGTGCTTTGAATCAGCCACTGAAGACCTGTGAGCGCTTGCAGGTCTCCGATTTTCCAATCGGAGCACGCCCAGGCGTGCTCCGATTGAATCGGAGCACGCCTAGGCGTGAATGCATGTCAGAAATGGTATCAAAGCATTCGTACTCGGACTCAAGTGCTAGAATCGGAGCCCTCCGCGCTAGCGCGCGTCGGGCTCCGATTCCGCACTTTCGTCCTCGTACTCATGCTCGATTCCATACTTCTGACATGTCACATGACAATCGACATGGCAACAGCGAATCCTAGCGCGACTTGCCGTGCTTTGAATCAGCCACTGAAGACCTGTGAGCGCTTGCAGGTCTCCGATTTTCCAATCGGAGCACGCCCAGGCGTGCTCCGATTGAATCGGAGCACGCCTAGGCGTGCTCCGATTCAGCCATCAGAGGCCGCTTTTTTTTTTAGTCACTGCGAAGAAGAGAAGCTGAACTGACCTGGTTTTTAGCTGACTAGACCGCCCTTGTTTTATCTCTGTGTTGTGACTGTGTACATTAGTCATTATGTAACATGTCTGAAGTACTAAACTGGCGACTAGTTGTGTTCCTTGTCTGGTCTAGTGTGCGTGCCTTGAGTAGGTACTAGGTATGTGTGAAGTACTACATGTAGTAGTACTAGTAGTAGTACGAAGTAGTTCGTGCAATGCATGTCAGAAATGGTATCAAAGCATTCGTACTCGGACTCAAGTGCTAGAATCGGAGCCCTCCGCGCTAGCGCGCGTCGGGCTCCGATTCCGCACTTTCGTCCTCGTACTCATGCTCGATTCCATACGTCAGGCACGGACCTCAGCTCCGATACGTGCTCTCTAGACTTTACTCTTTAGTTTAGATTGTCACTTACTTCTTTGCTGCTAGCTCGGCGTAGCTAGCTGTGCTCGCTGTGCAGACCTGTGTCACAGTGTGTGTGACTGGCCGCAGAGCTAAAGCATTGTACTACTGCATGTAGCATACCGGTACGCGGTACCATGATTACAGACTGTCTCAGTGTCTGTCAGTGTGTGTCAGGCAGTGCGCAGATCTACGCTTCCGCATGTCCCGCTCAGCTAAGTGCAGCTAGCTGCGAGGTCACCAGGTCACCGGCGTGACCTGGTGCAGTGTTGGGCTTGGTTCATTCAGGCTTTACTTTAGAGTTTAGTCACACTGCACTGTACTAACTAACTCTTACTGTCTGCAACACGGTAGGATCTAGGACTTTGAGTTTAGACTTCCGCTCCTGGAAGCGAAGGCCAGATCCCAGGGCCAGAACCAGGCTAGCGATTCATGCCCCCACAAGGCCACATGTAGGCTTGCAGCTTACACTTACATGACAGTTTTTGCATACGTCGCGCACCCGTCTGTTCTAGACTGTCTGTAGTCTGTAGTGTAGTGTAGATCTACACTACAGTACAGACAGTCTGTACTACAGACTGTAGTGTGTAGATCTACTGACTCTGTCACCATGGTCACGGTCACTGTCTGTGTAGTGTAGATCTACTGACTGTGTAGTGATGGCTAGGTGTCACCATGGTCACACAGACTGTGCCCGCTAAGTGCACACGCTGTCTGTACTGTAGACTGTAGAGTGTAGTGTAGTCAGTGTAGAAGGATACCGGTAGATCTGGTAGATGACTGCACTACTACTAGTACTAGTAGTAGTACTACATTATATATGATATAGTACATGACCACGAGAGCATTTTGACATACATGTACACGTGTTGTGGGTTCATATTTCGATAATTAGAATGTCCGGGTAATTAGAAGTTTTTTTCCTAGCATTTTGAGGTTCGAATTATCAGGATTCCACCTACATGTACACGTAATAGTAGATCTAGTGCGCGTCTTCATCAACTGTTCAAACAAATTTTATAAAAAGATTAGTTGATGTATCCCCCTTAGTGGCCTTACTGCATTAGAACGATTTCTATCATTTTAGAGTTTTTCAGTGGAATAGTCATGGCGATGATGACGTCCGATCAGATCTACCATCTCCACGAACTACGTGACGTAGCTACCTATTCCAAACTCTTCGAAACTAATCCACCTCTCCCATCGGATGAGGTTGTGGAGTTTCGAGGAGTTTCGAGGAGCTTCGTTTTTCTGAAGAGGCCACCTCTTCAGACACCTCTTCAGAAAAACGAAACTCCTCGAACGCGCCCCTAATCGTAGTCGTAGTCAACTGCCAGTACTCAGTAGATTACTGCTGCCAGTGCTGGCAAAACAGAAAACTGCATGATTTAGGCCAGCGTAACCATGGTAACCATGCAAGCGGAGCGCGAAGAGAACTGAGTCCAGCACTCCAGGCCAGGTCAAGTAAGTAAGTTCCGGACCCAGAGTTACATCCAGTTCCAACCGGTTTCATCCAGTTCCAACCGGTTTCATCCAGTTCCAACCGCTGAAAAAATTAATGTTGTTTCATCAGGTTCTAACCAGTTCCATCCAGTTCCATAATTATTAGGTTTACATAATATGTACGTAACAATCATAGTAAGTATTACTATTAGTAAGTAGTATTAGTATTTAGTATTAGTAAGTATTACTATTAGTTAGTTCACCATGCAGCTACAACCGCTCCCTGCATGTGTTGCACTGGTTTCAACTGGTTTACGCGCGGCGGGGAAAATAATGGTACAACACCGACTCAGCACGCATGCGTCTCACAATCATGAGAACTGCATCTCCGGCGTCTGTCCTAGCGCCTGGGTTTGCTTCAAACAAACTGTCCTCTTTTTTTTGTGTCAAAGTGAGAGCCTGCTTCCATGCGACAGCTAGCTGCCGCTTGAATGGATCGTAGAATTTGATTAGTTCACCAATACCGACACTAGGACTGTCGAAAGAAATCCTTCACGGAAAACGGAACCCCATTAGCCCGTGAAAAAATTTGGAAGAGAAGGATGAAGTGAAGACATCAACCGATAACAAAATGTGGAGCGCAAAAAAAGGTAAGTCGCCCATATTGGAAATCATGGAAATATTTGTTCCCGTATTCTAAACGTTCTTGACCTAGTACCTTGTAAACGATGGAGCATGCCTAGTAACTACAAACCTGGTAATTCGGGGTGTTCGTTACTGCGAATTGAACGATAATTTAGTCTTGCATTGAACGAGTCGATCAGTCAGTCTTGCATTCAACCTCACTCCTTCAAGGGAAGTGTGGGAATTTGATATGTTTGATAATGTGGGGCAGCCAAATGATTCCACGCCCGTTTACTTGCGATGGGTGTTGCTTGGCAGTGAACGAGTTGATCAGTCAGTCTTGCATTCAACCTCACTCCTTCACGGGAGTCTGGTGCTCTGTTATGCTTGATAATACGGGGAAGCCTTGTAACTCCATACATGCTGATTCAGGACGTGTGTTGCTTGGCAGTGACCTATGAGTCACTCTTGCGTTCAACCTCACTCCTTCAAGGGAAGTGTGGGGATCTGATATGCTTGATAATGCGGGGCAGCCAAGTGACTCAATGCCCGGTGATTCTGGATGTGTGTTGCTTGGCAGTGAACGAGTCGATGAGTCAGTCTTGCATTCAACCTCACTCCTTCAAGGGAAGTGTGGGGCTCTGATATGCTTGATTATGTGGGGAAGTCTTGTAACTCCATACATGGTGATTCGGGATGTGTATTGCTTGGCAGTGAACGATGAGTCACTCTTGCGTTCAACCTCACTCCTTCAAGGGAAGTGTGGGGCTCTGATATGCTTGATAATGTGGGGCAGCCAAGTGACTCCATGCCCGGTGATTCGGGATGTGTGTTGCTTGGCAGTGAACGAGTCGATGAGTCAGTCTTGCATTCAACCTCACTTCTTCACGGAAAGTGTGGGGCTCTGATATGCTTGAAAATGTGGGGAAGTCTTGTAACTCCATACATAGTGATTCGGGATGTGTATTGCTTGGCAGTGAACGATGAGTCACTCTTGCATTCAACCTCACTCCTTCAAGGGAAGTGTGGGGCTCTGATATGCTTGATAATGTGGGGCAGCCAAGTGACTCCATGCCCGGTGCGTCAGGCGAAATAGCACGTCATCGTACATTTGAGATCAGCGGGAAGAAGATGACGACGTCCACTAATTTAGTATCTGTGCACACGAATCTGCTGTGTGTGTGACTCTGTGTGTCAGCTATGATATCATCTTCTGTGGTTCCATGCCTAGCATGTACGTCTGAACCATCCTGCAAAGTTTGAATGACGTAGGTTGAGCGATCGCTCCGCGAAATATACTTTTTGAAATTCTCTTCATAGTATATCTTCCACCATTGAAATTTCGAATTTCTTCAAAAAAAGTGCTGAGAGGGGTGGCTTGCAACCTCGATATGGCTTGTTCCAGGCATGCTTTGGAGCCATCTTCTGTTGAAGTAGTGGCAGGGATCTGCCCTGCAACTGCTACAACAAAAAATGATTCGATCTGAGAAAGGGTGAGACCGCGAATCTCGGTTGAATATTGAGTATTTCAAGCCTTTTCACGACGAAGATGGAGTTCTTTTTGGAGATGGACGTCGCGGCAAAGGACATGGTGTCCGACGTCTGGCGTCTGGTGAAGCCAGGGATCATTTGTCCAGTCAGGTCGGCAGCCTAACCGTCGGTAAGCTTGTGTTTGGATCCCGTTCTGCTCGATTTGGTAGATCACAAACAATTTGATATCGCACAAATTGATCTCAGCATCGTGCGTACGGTATTTTATATTCAGAAAATCCCAAAGTGTCTCTGTGTGGCCGTCCTATGCCACGAGAAACTCCAATCAGGCTCCTATGTCCTC